ATACAAAAAACGGCAGTCAAAACCTGCCTTGGGTAGGTTAAGCAAAAATGCCGGGAAGGCAATTTTACATATATATAACCACCTAAAAAATAACCTAACCCATAACCTAAGATGACCCTAACCCTAAAGTTAATTCAATAAATACTAATTGTATAATTTATCTCCGCTTTAGACGTCCCCATTTTAGTATACTTGATTAAAATATTACACGAAACGAAGAAAAGTCGGTTACTGCTATGAAAATGGATTGGAAAAGAACTATATACATAATAATAATAATAATAATAGTAAGAGTAAAACTTATACTAATATATAAAAAAACTAAAATAAGAAAGAAAAGAAAGATTTTATTCATTACACTATGTAAACGCTGGATCTATTCTAACGCCAAGGACACTCTTTAAATTGATTATGTTCACATTTCACATGACATTGGAGGACTACCAGCTAGAGACTTAGGGTGTTCTCAAGCATCTCAATCAATCAATTAAATAACGATCATGATAACGCTCAAGCATCTCAGTCAATGACGACATTTATAGAATTAAATGCTTGAGCATACTCTTTCTGTTTTTCGTGATCTACGTTATGCCACCTAAAACACTTTAAAAAATTTTCTACCCAGCTGGTTGCCGAAACTTTAACTTCGGCTGCGTCGGTTTCTCTTTAATGATTTTATCAATTTAAATCTTTTGTTGCAGCAACAGAATCTATTTATGGAATCATTAGCGAAAGTTGCAATACAGCAACAAGAAATAAAAAATTTTTTTTTCTTGCGAATATTAATATTAAGATTAATATTTAAGTATTGAACAAAAATGAATAGCAGTATTCATTATGATTTAAAGATGGGTTGTATTTATTACGTTAGGATCAAGGTATCAATCATTTGTTTTAAAAGCTTCGAGAATTAAAAATAAAGTGACTATTTTTTCTTATCTGCTTAGAATTTATTGTTTATTATTTTTGATATGTAAAAAATTAAAATTAATGCTTGAGCGACCTTTATCAATGGAGAAAAAAGGTGGTTTGTATCTCTCTGATTTGTTTATCGAAATGGTAACTCACTTGGTTAATTCATTCAATTTCCGACTAATTAAAATTTTGTCTCCGATCCATTGAGCGAGGGTGTTTGAGAACACCCTTAGACTCGGGTTAACTACTTATATTAAATTTTCGCGATTGTTCAGTTTATTTATTATTTATTATCTAGCAGGGTTAATTAAAAGCAGGCTGCTATTTTAAATAATAGTCAAATTTATTCCCATCTTTAAGTGTCCTGAACTGTAAAATATAATGTATTACCTCTTGCGTATAACGTTTCGGAATTATTTAATACCAGAATCAAATCCATTCAAAAGTGATGGAAAACTTTATTCTTCTTCATACACAAACGCCTATGAAGGTATAGATTCTTCATATGATCCTAGACCAAGTGTTGATATTTTTGTGACAAACGGGCAGGTAATAAAATGTTGCCTTTCATTTTATCATTTTTTTACTCTACTTAGTTATTCAATACTTTAAATAAATGTATATGTATATATTCATGATATTACATGTACATCTATCATTAAGAAGAAAAAAAAAATAAAAAATAAAAAACATACGATTTTTTGAAGCAAACTTACTAAATCATGAAAAAATAGAAGAATCTTTTAATGTTTATCCGTTGATTTCAATCTATGTTTAAGTTTCAGCCTTTGAAGCTTTTTTATCACTTTGGTTTTTTTTCCTTCGGATTTTTGTCGGTATGATGAATTGACAATCTCTGATCGTCAAAGACCAGAGCGAAAGGCGAAAGTGTAAAGAAATCAATGAATTTGTCTCGTTGTTTCTCTTAACCTCATTGCGTGATATGTTTAATCATCAGATCACTATATTCAGGTCATCGTGGATAATAAAGCGCCACACGAATACTCGAGTCACAAAATCAATTTATTTATGATCAATAATAAAAATCATGTATGTTAATAATATATATATATATATATTAATTCTTATCGTTCGAATGGTAATAAATAATTGTCTCGTGATCTTTTTTATTAATCTTTATTTTATGGAATCTAACTTATGAAAAATACCTGGTATTATTACATTCCTATATTATGTTAGAAAAACATTAATACTTCAGAAATTCTATCATATCACCAAACTGAATAAACAAAGCCCTCTGTTATATACAGAGAAACCACTATAAATACACCCCCCTTGGGATCAAACCTTAACAGTGTGCACTTAGAGAACTATAACTAAAAGTGCTCTTCTAGTGATCATTCAATGTAACCTTTGGATCCGGATTTAAGTATACATTTAGAGAAGATGTTACTTATATAGGTGCACTTATAGAAGTTTCACTGTAATTATAACTATTTGTAATAAAATACCCTTCTTTACTTTTTCAATATTAATTTTACAGATGTTTATGAAATCTTTGTAATTCAAAATTCAATTTTAAATCCACTTAATAATTTTGTATCAAAAAATTTAAATCTTTCTCAATTTACATTAATTATTAATTGACTTACGTTTCTTGTAAATTTGTAGCTAATTTTTCTGTCATACTCTATTTATGATAAATTCTTATCACGATTCATGTTAAAACCATTTATGCTAAATTTTAGACTCAAGCTTTTTTTCCAAACCTACTAATATCTACATATACTCTTTATTAACAACTCGAACTATAGATAATTTAAACTTTCAAAAAAATCACCCCAAACTTCAAATCAAACAAGACCAATTCTCGATCTCAACATTAACTAAAACAATTCTTAACAATATATCTATTAATTAACCATAAATTATTTAATAAACTTTTTCTCTAAAAAAAATCGGTAACTTACCCCATTTTTAAAAACTAACAAACTTACGACTTATTCAATTAACTTCATATACAGTCGCCCTGCATAACAAACCTCTGTATAACAATCTCTAAATCTAATGAATTCAACCTTTTTAAACTTTATAACGACTCATTATAAAACTCTTAAAAAAACACAATACTTTCCTAAAATTACATTATCTTTAAACAGTTAATTCATTACAATAATCTCTTGATATGATAAATCTATCATTTTTACAGGCGGCGAAGCCGCCTACATGACCATGTTCCTAGTTTAAAACCGGTTTAGTCAACTAAGTCTACTAAGCAGACTAATGCTATATTGACTTGAAACACTAATTCACAGTAATAGACAATAATAGAGATGTGTCGTAAAGAATTGAGAAAGTAATATTATCTTTAATAGAAATACTATATTCATAACATGCACACGCGAAAAATTTTTTGGAGTAGCATGAAATAGAAGAAACAGAAGTGCATTGTTTTTTCTTTGTGTCTCTGTGCTAACCCGACTTTTGTAATAATTTAGGCAATTTTCCACTATATCCTTTTCAACACCATTTCTATTTTGTACCTTATGCTCGTCCTTTTCAATAACATCTCTGCAGATTTTTGATATATTCTGTTCTTTTCTATTTGATCCACGAGCACAACGCATCTTTGATAATGAACGAATGTCTTATTTCATCCTTTTCAACTCCAATTCCTTCAATAACAATATTCAATCTGAGCCATTCCATTGTCGTCATCAATATCAGCATATTTTAATAGAAGTGAATGCACTATATTCGCTTTTTCATCATCAGAATAATAAGTATACATTATTGGGCAAAAATTTGTGAATAACGGCAATTTGCCCAGTTGAGCCAAATTGCCAATAATGATGTTATCCGGCAATTTATGATCATGCCCCGACCCACCCTTTCGTATAAATATAATTTTAGACCTAAGATTGTAGATCAATATATAAATCTGATCTCTTTTT